GGGGGGATCAGGTGGGCAGTTTGGTAAAGACACAGGAGAAGAAAACGATAGGAATTAAGACAACACGGAGGGGAACCTGTAGCATTAGCATGTCTAAGGTGTGTCCCAAAGGACAGGCCTTGCCGGTCAGGGGCTTGGCATCTCCAAGTCTTACCTGGGAAGCAAGCCTTGCGACATGGACTCCTGATCAGGTCAGGGATCCCCCCCTTAAGGCCAAAACTGTCCTCACAGTGCCAGGCTGTTCGCGGCCATACTATGGCAGAGCTTCTGTTCATTGTGTCCTGGCACCTGCAAGAGAGGCAGGACAGGAGGTGTGCTGGACCCTGTGGTGAGCAGTAGCTGGGGGTGGAAGGCGGGCCACGTTTGCTGGGTTTATTTCTTTATTACGTTTATCTCCCTCTTCTGCATAGATATTAAAAAGAGGCAACCCCATCCACTTTTCACATCTTGGCACCAATCGGTAGTGCAACAGTCCATGTCTGTGTTAGCCTAACCGCAGACATTATTTAGATTTTAAGGCTGCAGAGACTTCAGGAGCTGTTCTGGGAAAGGGTCTTTGATGCTCAAACTCTAAGCTTGCACAGTGGATGATGCACCCTAACTTTCGTAGGGCTTCTTATCTCTCAGGTCCTGCTGTATGTTTCACAAGAAAATGAAGCCTTTTCTTCGAAGCAGCTGTTCATTTGAAGGGAAGTCGAAATGCTTCTGTTTCAGATGCAAAGCAAAGGAGAGGAGGAGGGAGTTTTAACCGAGAACAGCTTAAAGCAACAGGGGCGGCTTGGAACCTGAGGAAGTTCCACTTGAATTGGACCGGCCTTCTTCCCCGATTTTCTCCATATGTGTTGGACTACAACTCCCAGCATGCCCCAGCAGGGTCCACGATGAGGGAAATGGGTCGTGCTGGTCACTGGTGGGGATGGGTGCTGTAATCCAACACTTCTGGAAGGCACCTGGGTAGGTAGGGAAGGCTGAGGATCTCTTTTGAAATCAGTGGGGGTGGGATCAGGAGGTGATTAAGAGCGGGGGGGGG